ATAGAGTCACTTAACCTGCTGGAAGACATAGTAAATAAAACTCTTGAACAAGATATAGGGCTAGGCAAAGGACTTTCTGAACAAAAGGCCAATTGTACCAGATATAAAATCAATAATAAATAAATGGGGTTACTTTTATCATGGCTTGGACCTAGATGTCCCCCCAAAGCTCATGCACTCATAGGTGGGGAGCTGGGAAAGTGGCAGGATTAAGGTGTACGAAGGTGGAGTAAGGGTGTGGACAACGGAACCCCCCCCCCCCAGGCACGGTTGCTCTACAGCCCGGATAGGATACAAAGGGCAAGAGAAAAGGCAGACTGCCTTCTGCCTGCCTGCCATGGACGGTTTCTTCTCTATGATGCCCCTCTCCCAGACCACCCTTTCCTGAAGTCAGCCTACTATGGACAGAAACCTCTACACACTGTGAGCTAAATAAACCTCTTCTCCTTTAGCTTTGGGGGTTGGGTATTTGTTTCAGCATCAATACAAGTAACTAAGCATCTAATGAGAAAGCTTCTACACAGTAAAGGAAGCAACCAACAGAGTGAAGACACAGTTGGCCCCAGATACAACAGAAAACTTCAAAGAAGATGGGGCAGTGAGGTTTTTCATTGATCTAGGGCCTACTAACTTTTTTGTTGGAAAACGAGAGCATGGATTTAAGGAAACAGGATGAAAGATTCAAGAAAACTTGACCAAGGAATAAAGAAAAACTAGAAACATCATCAGATATACAGCAAGAGTACTTGAAAAGAAATCATATGAAAGGGGAAATAGATATCAAAGATTAGGCATGAATTGGAAGTGCTATTTTTAGTAGGGAATCCAATGTAGCGTACACACTAGGCTTTGGAGAATGAGATTTAGAAGAGGAAAAGTGGCCTTTTAAAGGCAAATACCTGCAGAACTCAAGTGTACTAATCAGCTTTATATTACAACAAAATACCTGAGGTGATTAACTTTATAATAGGAAAGGTTTGGTTCATAGTTCTGTATGTTCCATTCCAAGATCAGGCAACTCCCTTGTTTTGAGCCTTTGGTAAGGATAATAACAGTGGTGGGGAATGTATGCCAGAGAAAACTGCTCATTTCTTGAAGCAGAGAGTGACTGAGATACCAGAGTCTCACAATACCCTTCAAGACCACACCCTTAATGATCTAAACCCCTCACTTTGCCCCGCCCAACATGGTCCACCACCATCCAGGGTGCCACCTTTGAGAGCAAGCCTTCAACACACGGCCCTTTGGGGAACATGACCCACACTGAAACCACATCATGGGTTTCTGGATGGGTAGAGAAGTGGAGATGTAGGTTGAGGAATTCCTGGGCTGGGTGGAGGTGACTGCTGTGAGTGTGAGGTCTACCTGTGTCTACAGCATCCACGTGCCTCTTCTTCATAGGCAGGTGCCGAGCCAGGTCTTCCTATGAGCCTGCCCCTATGCCTTGGGTACTGCATTGAGCTCCTTCCAAAAACTGACAAGGGGGCAGAGTCTGAGGCACATTTTGTGAATTGATGACAGCCACAGAGCACCTGAATGGACATGCGCATGGGCTGCAAACACACACCCTTTCTGCCACTGTTTCAGTCAGCTTTCCCATTGCCAGACCCCCACAGCTTAAGTGAGGGGAGGCTGAATTTGGCTCACATCTTAAGGGGATTCAGTCCATGGTGAGCTGGCCCCAAGGCAAACCATCATGGTGGAAGGGTCATGTGGAACAAAGCTGTTCAGTTCGTGGGAGCCAGGAAGCAGAGCAGAGGAGCAGCACCAGAGACCAAAGGGTCAGGGACCAGACATGGTTCCTAAAGTCACCTCCATGACCTGCCCAGACACACCCACAGGTGTGCACCACAGATCCTCTGGGTAGCTCCTGAGCCAATCAAGGTAAACAGTCAAGCTTAACTGTCACCACCACCTCTAAAACCAAGAGCTTTTGACTCAGCTGGTGCTGTGGTTGAATGCATCTTCCAGTTTTAGTTACTGAAACTTAATGGGCAACTTCCTGAATCAGCGCCAGGTTCAGGCCATAGGGAGGAGACCAAGCGCCAGCCCCTTCTGGGAGACAAGAAGAACCAAACCCCCTCCCCACTATAAGCGACCAACTGACCCAGAGAAACACAGGCTGGGGCGATGGCTATTGAAGTAAAACACAGCTTAATGCTGGTAGTGTTTAGGGTTTCGCTAACTGCTGGCCTGAGCTGGTAGTCTGATCATCTGTTCAGAGGATAACAGTATGCAGTGTAGCATCTTTGGGGATCTCCTCCTGAGTGTTGGCCATTGTTAATTCCTTATTACCTTGTTTTAAAGTCCTGCATCATTTTCATTGTCTGGTTTGGTTTGATTGTTTTGTCTTGTTTGATTTTATTATATCTGATGGCATGGGCAGCTATGTCAAAGATAGCAAGACATATTACGGTAGACATTGTGGACTATTATCTTGTTTTGAAGTCCTTTATTGTGTTCATTGTTTTGTTTTTTGGTTTTATTTTGTTCTGTTTTGTTTGCTTTTATGTCTGAAGGTATGAGCAGCTATTTTGTCTTTTTGAGACAGAGTCTTGCTATGCAGTTCAGGCTGCCTTTGGCTCACCTTGCAGCCCAGGCTGGTCTCAAACTTGTGAACAATTCTCCTGCCTCAGCCTCCCAAGTGCTGGGATTACAGGAGTGTGCCTCTGTGCCCGGCTAGGGGCACCTATTTTGAAGATAACAAGAGGCATTGTGGTTGCCATTGTTGATTTCCTATTATCTTGTTTTGAAGTCTTATATCACTTACACTGTTTTATTTTGATTGGCTTTATACTATTTTATTTTGCTTGGTTTTATTCTTTTTAAAATAAAAAATTATTAGCAAACAAAGAAAAGAAAAAGAATGTAATGTCCAGCGTGATCGTATTAAGCTGAGGGGCCTTTATCAGGATTTTAGTCTTCCTCCTCTGGTGTTAGGGTTAAACTCTCATAAGAGGTTTCTCCAGCCCTCCTGCCTCTTGCTATATGTGTACGCAGCACCAGGAACCATCCTGACAGCAGAGCGGGCTCTTGCTGGACACTAGCCCGCCTCCCTTGATCTCGGGCTCCAGAACTGTGAGCAAACACATTTTTGTTCCTAATAGATTACCCAGTCACAGGCTCCTGGTGTTAGGAGCACAGTGTCTGTGAGCAAGCCTCTCTTTGTAAATGATTTATGGCGCCTGCAGAGCACACTCACATTCATGGCAGTGTGCCAGGTGACATGATCTTAAGGCTAACTGGAACCTAAGAAGGGACAGTACCTCCCAGTCATTTAGCATCTGCAGTTGCACCTGGAGGTCACCTGGAGAGGGAACAGCACATTTAAAGCAGTTTGAGAAACTGCGAGTGGGGCCAATGATATCGTGGCACTGGTTACTTGGTTCTGGGAGGTGCAATCAGTACCAACAAGTTCGAGCTTGGACCTCGAGTACCAAACAGGCCAAGTACTGGGCCGGAATCTTCACATCCAAATGCCCTGAGCACCAATTCACCGGGCTTCACAGCAGCTGAGGACCAAGGGGACGTTCTTAGGGAAAGGCCAGCAGCACAGGCTCTTTGTAACTCTGTACCTGCCTCAGTGGGCACATGCCACCAGCAGTGTCCCCAGGTGTATTTGAGCATGGAGCCCCCACCCCAGCACACACGCTCAGCTTGCTCCCGGAGCCCCACATGATGGGCCCTGGGAAGGGCAGAGCCAGCCTAAATCCCAGCAGACTGACCCAGCACTTCACCCGGTGAGAAGACTGTGGACCTTCCCTGTGTGGGTGAGTCCTGGAGTCTGCCGGGTGGCGAGGGGCACTTGCCATGCTCTGACAATCGTCCGCTTGGCCTGAGCAGTTACAAGCAGGTAAAAACACGAAGCAAAGAAGGTCGAGGCCACAGTGAACTCATCAGGGGAAATCACTGCTTGGGGAGTGCAGAGCCCACAGGGTAGCGAGCACTGGGGAGCTGTGAAAGGACCTGTCCCTGTCCTGACCTTGAAGCAGAGAGGACGGAGGACTCCTGAGCGCACTTCACTGGCACAGGGCAGCTGCAGGCTCCTTGCCCTCCCTCTATGGACACCGAGCCCTCTTGGATTCAACGGCACAGGTGCCCAGGCCGAAGCTGCCCTCCACAGTCACACCCAAGGTCTTATTCAACTTTAAGGGTGAAAACAGGAACAAAACTCTTCCTGTGCATCCCCTGCCCTTGGCGCTCTCCCCTCCTCGGGCCTGCAGTCTGTGTGTGACACCGTCCCCTGGGAAGCCTCAGCCCTCAGCATGGCCCACTCTGGCACCAGGTGGCCTCTCCCCAGACCTCACCATGTTGCTTGTTTTATCCGCTTTCACCTCTCATTATTCTTGTTCACTGTTTTACATTTAAAACACCAAACTTTATTAAACACCCTCGACCTGGGCCACCATCTGCTCCAACCACCCTTACCTAGGAGCCTTCTGGATTTGCCAGTTGGTTCTAATACAGTGGGGCATTCCAGCTCGTATTTCAGGCTTCGTCTGTCTAAATAAAACACCCCCATGTCTGAAGGCCGATATCCCGCAAAGGCAGTGTGCTGTGAGTTAAAGATGTCAGCACCCACCCATTCCCAACAAAGCAGAGTGGTGGGGGACCAGGGCCTGACTCCAGAGCAGCCAGCCGGGGGTGTGAAGAGCTGGCTCACTGAGGCTCTGGCCAAATAACCCAGTCCTGATGTCCTCACTGCTTTCCCCAGAGGCGATAATCCTGTCTCACTGGGGGTGCTGAGGGTTAGTGGGGTGTCCTGTCTGAGAGCTTAGAAGAGACCTAAGGAGCAGCAAGTGATTGATAAGCAATGGCCACCCTTTCTGCCACTGTTCAAGAAGCATCTGGAACAAAGCAAGGGGAATTTTTGTTTGTTTCTTTTTTTTGGTACCGGGATTGAACTCACAACTGTGTGCCTTCAAGGCAGGCACTTATGCCGCTGAGTTAAATCCCCAGCCCTGGAATGTTTTAATAAGACATTTTTCTGTCCCTCACAGGTCCAGATTATAAACGGGATCACTTACCTAAAGTGCAGCCGGACACCTCCTACATAGGAGAAAAGTGGCCCGAGTTGGAAAAGACGGGAGACCTCCAGTACCTGTGGAGACCTGCCTCCGACAGAAGCGCACCAGCGAAATACAAACATGAATACGTCGGGGAAGTCGGCTGGGGGATCCCTGAGTACAACTTCATCAACAGGTCAAGGCTTGCGAGTGGCTTTCACATCAAGGTATTGCTGTAAAATGCACGCTTTCCGCCGGCTACTGTTTCCTGGTTTGTGTTCTGAGCTTTCTGCCAGTCATAGTTGGGGGCTTCAGAAGCGAGGGGCTTAGTTTTGCAGAAAGATAAATGTGTGAAGACGTGCACTTGCCACCATGAAGCCCTTGGCCCCTCTTACCCAAGAGGCACCGCGTGAGAAAGTTGAGGTGCAAGCAGCCCTGCAGCATCAGGGGTGCCCCATCCTCACCTGGGGCGGCTTGCAGTGTGGGCGGAGTGGAGAGAAAGGTGGGGAGGAATCCACAGCACAGCAGGAATCTCAGGTCTGCAGATGCCACAGTGCTGAGCGTGCGGGGCCCAGGCCTGCTGTGCAGTCAGCCTCTCAGACGCCTGGTCCCATTTCCTCTTGGGGATGGCAGCCCCGGCACATGTCTGCAGAGGACACAGGATTTTACAGAGAATTAGACACTGTCTTCCAGCAGGCCTTTGCAGTGTCTGCAAACTGAATGTTATGCCACAGCCTGATCTCCTGGATTCCTATCTTGGTTCCGCCTCCTCTGAGCTCTGAGTGGCCTTGGTCAGTCTCTCACTGTCAGCTGGGCATTGTGTACTGCACACCTGTAATCCTGGCATTCTGGGAGACTGAGGCAGGAGGATTACAATTCTGAACCCTGTCTGAGTAACTTAGAGACTTAATGATACTATCTCAAAATAAAAAGATGAGGAAAGGTCTGGGGATGTAAGTGTAAAGGCCCCCACTGCAATCCCAGTACCTAAAAAAAAATTCCTTAGGGGCCATGCTTTGTTATTTTCACCACGAAATCTTAGCATCTGTCTTGCTGGACTTTTGCAAGCACAAGTGCACTGCTAATTACACACTGTGGGGGCAGCACCTGGCACAGCCCCGACCTGTTGCGTCTCACCTCTCGGAGGTTAAACACAAGAACACCAGATACGCCCAGCCTGCTCTTGACCTCAGCGTTTCAGGATTTGTGTTGACCCTGTTTGCTTGGCTGCTGAGACAGGGAGAGTCCAGGCCTTTGGTCCTCAGGATGTGTCCCTCTGGGGAACACCCTGCTTTCACACACGGCTGCCATCTGTCTGGTCAGCTGAGTGTACACGGCCTCTCTTCCTTCTTCATCTTTCACTGCAGCACCCGCTTTCCTGCTCAGGTGAGGTGGATTCCAGCACCTCTGAAAGGAACAGGAGATCACACAGCAGTGCTGGCTGCCTGTGAGAGTCCCACAGAGCCCTGGGGGGCTCCTGGCCCTGCGGGATGGATGGGCAACCTGCTGCGTGCTGGGGAACTGCCCTCACTGGGCATGTGCTCTGATGGGCGGTGCTTAGCCTGAGTACCACTGCTCGTGCAGGTGACTGCCCAGATTGCTCTCAAGAACCTGCCTGCCTCGGATAACAGTCTTCATCGATAGCTTCCAGGAGGCCTCAGACTCATACAGAGGACGACCAGACTCTGAGGGCTGTTCCAGAGTCACCGAAGGTCAGCGTCAGCAAAGAGCAGTTAGGACCCGTGTCTCCCCAGGGCTGCTAAGCTCCCCCTCTGCACGCAGGACATGTGTCCTGCTCTCCCACCCAGAAAGGCTTCGGATTACCCTTGGGCCTGCACTTGCACTTCCATTCCTCTGCCCCATTGCTTCAGGCAGCTCCTTCCAACCAGCCAGACTCAGGGCCGCCCTGCCCCCAGCGCACACCCCTGTGGAAGCCAGCGCACCCCTGGAACAAACCGGTACAAGCTCGTGGCGTCACTGAGCCCCCAGGCTGGGTGAGTCCTCGGTGCCTCACCTACGCACTGGCCTGGTACTGCCCTCCTCTGCCCTGGTGCCCCTCGTCCCCCTGAAGTGCACAGCAGGAGTCCGAAGGGGTTTGTAGCTTCGACAGCTGCTTTTCCTAACTCAAGCTCCCGCTCTGTCCTGGGGCAGCAGACACCTCCAGTAAACTCCAGGTGAACCCCAGCCCCTGTCCCCTGGGGCCAGCCTGGGCCCCTTCCTCATCTGTCTTCTGGCAGGATGATCGTAACTTCCATGCTGGGGGACACCTGAGAAAATTCCTCCCACATAGCAGGGCTTGGAAAGAATCAGGGCTCGGGTTTCTCTTCTGGATTTTTGTGTCTAGCTGCTTCCTCCTCACCATTACGTGGGTTACAGAGCCGTAATAATGTGTGTGTCCATGGAGACTGTAGTAATAATTCCTGCGGTTCTGACCCCCGGCTACCCAACGAGTGTTCTTGTTTTTTCTTTTTTGGGCATTCAATGACCTCTGCTGACCACCTCTTCTCGTCATGTCTCCTCCTCCCAGCCTTTCTTTAACCCAGACCTCAGCAGGGTCGGGGGCTCCCTGATGCCTGTGTTCTGTTCCTTACGGCAAAATGATTTAAGTCGTTTGCTTTTCCCCAGCAATGATGTCATTCTGGACTCAGTCCCTAGCTCTTTATTGGCCTGACCCCAACGACAATATTAAATCAGTCAACCCTGATAGACGTGTTGCAGAAGGCAACAGCTTCACAAACTCCAAGGAGAACCACGGAAATCCATCCGTGTATTCGTACGTGTATAACGACTGATGTGTCAGAGGCTTTGATATTTCTGCCTCATTTTTAAGTGCCACAGAGCTGCCACCGTGAACTAGAGGGCCCCTCTAAAGCAGTTCCGTGGACCTTTGGACGGATTTTGCAGTGGCTGGTGATGGCTCACTCAAGGGTGGTTTGGCTGTTAGCGATTTTCCTCATTATGAATTCACGGAGAAGAAAAATACAAAAAGGCTGTGGTGGATGGGGAGTTATGGAGGGAGCCTCCGAGTGCCTTGTCTGACAGGTGGGGAAGAGCAGCTCCTGCAGGCGAGGCCCACGGCTGGGAAACAGTGGCCAGGATTCAGCCCAGCTCCGTGGGTTCCCACTGGGACCAGGGTCCAGTGCCTCTCTGCTGCTATTGCACTCTAAGGCGGGCATTAGGGTTTGTGTCTGGAGGTCCCCCTAGAGCCTCATGTGGTCATAGGGTTTTGGATCTAGTATGTGTGGTTGATTGGTAGTGCAGCGCTGGGATGCAGGGTGTGATTGCTGGATCCGTCCACTGACTGGCAGATTGGACACAACTTAAGGGGAAGGAAGAGGCTTGTTTGCCCCCTCTTGCTGCTTTTGCTGTCTTCCATCCCCATGAACAGCTGCCCCTCTGCCACACCTCCCTGCCTTCCAGCCAGCCAAATATGGGCTGAAACCGTGACAAATAGGCCTTCCCCTCAATATCTCTGAGTGTTGGGTATTTTGTCTCAGCAAGGAGGGAAGTAACAGAGATGGTGGGGTTTGCGGGGCCATTCTGATCCCCTCCTGCCTTGGGGCACACATCTGGCTCCCCAGTGTTCTTCCAGCTTCAAACACAGCCTGTTTCTTTTAGACTAATAAAAGTGTTAAGACACATCATTCATGTAATTGATGTAGAATAGCAGGGCAATAGTCACTTTCAATGTTTTATTTTATAGGCTTCCGAAAATCACCAAAACACTGCCATGGTTCTGTGGGGGAGGGACAGTAAGGTTTCACCAGGCAGAACCTTCCGTGCTCATCCAGACCTAACCCTCACAGGACAACGGTGTCCTCCCCTCTGACAAGTCATCCACAGAGACAGTACTGCCAGTGTGGAGGTGCTAAGTAGGTAGGACACCAAAATACGTATTTCAGAATTTTTGCAGGTTTCCCCCAATCCCAAAATTCTCACTTGCCATTGCATTCATTTAGAGCAATCATAAAAACAGTTATCAGTTTTGAGTCTCTTAAAAATTTCCAAATCTCCAGCTGTTATCGATATGGGAGATTTTTAAAAGATGATAATGCCTCTCTTTTTCACCCATTATAAAAGCAAAATAAAAAATAGATTTTCTAAAATTAGTTAAGTTCTTTCCCAGATGAGCATGCTGTGGTTATTTGCATCCTAACACTTTGTGGCTCGATATAAAAATAATCACATTCGCACCTTTCATCCTTTAGTGCTGGATAAAGCAATACATTTCTGTGACACCCAGGAAGCCCTGAGGAGCGGGGGAGCATGTGCTGGCCATCTGTGAGGCCGTTTGTTTTTTCCTTGAAAATAATATGATAATACCACTAACCTCTTCTATCCTGATGTTATGCTTCCCCCGTTTTGCAAAGCTTAGCTTTATAGAATTCTTCAAATAGAGCGAAAGATGTCCTTTTTGCATTAAAACCTCAGTTCACCCTGAACTTCCAGGAAATACAATTCAGGACTGATGCTTGTGTTCTCTAAGAGACCCTTGGAAGGAGAAGAGAGGTGGGTTGTGCAAGGTCCCAACCTCAGCACTGGGTCCAGGGCAGCTCCAGGAGGAACAGGGCACCTGGACAGGCTGGGCCCAGAGAGCAGGTTCCACAGCCGCACGCACCTGTGCGTGGAGCCATCGAGTGTGGACGCAGTGGTCTGCAGGCGCCAAGTTCAGCGGGATTGGGGCGAGGTGCTCTGGGGTGCTCTTGCACAGTAAGAGGACAGCGAATCAATGATTAAGGTTGAGTGATCGCTGGATCAGAGCACTGACTGGACAGGCCACTGATTGGATTGACAACCATAAAGTACTGTATTTTTCAAAAAACTGGAAGGAAAGGTTTTGAAAGTTTTCACATAGAGAAACAGTAAACGTTAAGGAACCATGTCCAACCTGATTTAAGTGCTCTGCAGTGTATGAACATAAGGAAACTCCCCGTGCCACCTTCACGGCACAGTTTTTGTGTTTTTAAATTATTATTAAAATGATTTTTTAAAATGTTGAAAAACTTTGAAAACCTAGACTTGATAGCTAAAAAGAATAATATGTTCAGCAGCCTCGGCCACGTTCCACTGTTCCCGAATGACCTGGCCCTTGGCTAAAACCGCACTTTCCATCTTAGTGAGGAGACTGCACCGTAACCAGAAAACGAAAAGAAACTAGATTTCCCATCTTTCACTGGGATGTGGAAATACGGGGCCAGGGGAGCCAGTGCCATGGGATGCTGGTGGG